TGTCTTGAATTAGGATAATGACATTCATGAAATATAGGGAGAGATCCGAGCTATTGTAGGAACGACTAAGGGGGATTTTAGAAGCAGGATTGGAGGGGAATTTCATGAATGGCCTAAATATTGATATACGGGCAACACTCGACTTGAAATCGAGGGAATTGAGGGAGGGGATGAGTGTAGCCCAGATGGAGGACACCTAGATGGAGAAGGCCAGCAGGAGTGCCATACCAAATTGCTATAGGCACGAAAATACTAAAAGCTCAAACAATGAAATTTCAGAAGGAGGCTGCACGGGACAACAATAATGGACCACAACCGGAAGCGACACTCAAGCGTTATATAGGGATAGAGATTTAGGAGAAGTGTGCTATGGCGATGTGATGAAATCGTTGCAAGGATAAAAAAAAATTCAACTTCTCCTTGTGCGTGACGAGGAGGCGGAGGATTAAAAAGTAGAGACAGTTGTGGTGGAGGAAGACCTTCATTTTTCCCACAAGGTGTTTTTTTTATGGGTTTATTATTACGTTGTCCAAGCTTAAGGGCAAATTTGTCTTTTATTAACTTTTATTATAATTAAGATTTGGTATAAATAGGTCCTAATAAAATTAGGGTTTGGTATGCATGAGATTATTGTTATGAGTTTTAGGTTTAGGGTTTGGGAGAGAGTTCCTACCTGTAGAATTGTAGGTGCTTATTTTAATATATTCATGTAAGTTGATTGTGTTGTATTGTTTTGATTTGACCTTGTTGAAGAAAAATATTGGTTTGCCCTAATTTCTTTAGAAAATCGTGCCAATTTATGCGTTGAATGGTATCATAGGCTCGAGTTCAGGATTAGAAGACTTATAACTCGAAGATGAAGTGAACTGAACATAGGTTAATGGAACAATGAGAACATACCTGGAGGGTTCATAGATACTGGGCAATGCAAATGATTCATAGGCCTTTTCTTTTGAATTGCCCTCTTCCATGAGTATATAATGTCAAATGATACTAATGCCATAGTTTTTTTTTCTATTTCTTTTTTGTTATGATTATGAACATCATGTGATGACACTGCAGGAAGACCTTAATTGTCTTTAATATCTAAAGAACAAGACTCATTTTCTCTTGATAATATAGCTTTGATTTTTTGGTTGAACAATCATGGTTGGGGAGATATTATTTTGTGAGCCTTCAGTTTGATAGAGATCTTGAAAATAGTAGTTGAATCTTTGTTTTGACCCCCATTGAAGATGGTATGAGAAATAGGGATGTAATTTAAAAAATGTGACATCATGGTGACACATTTTTTAGAATTTGAATCAAAATGTTTAACCGCCTTTTGGTTATGAGCATAATTAGCAAACACATTTTTTGGTTTGGGATTCAAGTTTTTCTTGATTATGGCTATCAATGTCAACAAAAACAGCACACTCAAATTTCTTTAGAGATGAAGAAGAAATGAGCCGATTCATTGAGTAAATTTTATGACAAATATCAAAAATGTTTTAAAACTTTAAAACTTTATTGAGCGTTCTATTTATGAGGAATCTAATAGTGAGAACGGTTTCACCCTAAATATAATTTGATATTTGATTGGTAAATAACAATGACTAAGCTGCTTTTAATGAGTGAATGCCTTTTTTTTCAATCACACCATTTTGTTGTGGAATATCAACATAAGAGCTTTGGTTAACTATTTTTTTTTAGAAAAAAAATTACCCAAAATATTTTTGAAATATTGTCAGCTATTTTCACTTTGCAATGTTTGAATATTTTTTTTGACAATGTATTTGTACCATGTTGTAAAAGTTTGTGAAAATTGTTTCTTCTTCAAATTTCCCTTTAATTAAATAACCCAACTTAACTTAGTATGATCATTAGTAAAAGTTTCATACCATTTTTTTTTCAAAATATATAAGATTTTTACAAGAATCCTGCTATCTCTATGAATGAAAGTAAATTGCATAGTTTATTTGTAAATTTGAGAAGAAAAGATGCACAATGTTGAACAAATTGACAAATTTCACTTTGAAACAAAGAGAAATTTTCTATTCTGAAATAAATTTGAAAATATGTATTTTAAATACTAAAAATTAGGATGATCTAACTTATAATGTCATAACATAATATTATCGTATTTGGAGAAAAGAATAAAATTTAAACCTGTATTTTGATATTGTCTATTCGAGTCAAATCAATTATCTAGTCATCATTTTCTTTAGCGCTCCCCATTGTTCTTTTAGTGGTCAATTGTTGAAACTCACAATAAGAATAATAGAAATTAATTTGACTTTAATGGTCGACAGTAATTTTACTGATGGACAACCAAGTTATTGGACAAATTTAGAACATGGAGAACATCATGGTGAGCTGACAATGAGGTGAGTTTGATAGCTCCTATCCAGACAATTACCAAGTGAGAACTATCGACAATTTTGACCTTTTTATTGCCTGGACAAGGTCTATAGGAGAAACATAATTTAGAGCAATCATTCATATGATCAGTTGTGCTAGAATTAGTTATCCAAGAATGAACAAAATTTGGAGTAACACATAACAATGCAATGATTAAAAATTACTCTTTTGTACTAAAGAGCAAGGCCAAGTCAGGGACAATTTTGGAGATTGAAATGCTCTAGTTGCTCAGTGAAAGGGGCTGCATCCAAGTTTGCAGAAGGCTCTTAAGTTTCTTCAATAGTGGCTTGATAAGCTCTACCTTCACATTTGGATTTGATTTCCAATTCGCAGGTTTATCATGAAGCTTTCAACATGCTATTTTGTGTGTCATGATTTTTTGCAATGCTCGCACTATGATTTCTTGAGCTCTTCTTGTCAGTGTCAACACATATTGACACAAGAGCCGAGTTCTTCTGTTCAATGCTATAAAGAGGATCGGTGTTGCTCAATATAATTTTTCTTTTTGACTCTTCAAGTCTAACTTCAGAAATAAACTTCTCGAATGGAGGTTAGATGTTTCTTACCGAGGATGTGACCTCAGCCTTCATCTAAATTATGATTAAGGCCGGCTAAGAACATGTAGACCCAATCATTTTCTTCTCTCTTCTTATGATGATCATAGTCATTCAAATTCTCCCAATTATCATCATAACATTGATTTAACTCTTGTCATAATTACCAACTCATTGTAATACGTAGTAACATTACAATCATTTTGCTTTGATTTTCAAAGTTAAGTTGTCAACTAAAAAATTTTGGAGGAATTCTCCAGGTCTGAATAAAAATCTCAAATGATCTCCCAAATATCTTGAGCAGTGGGAGGAAATTGATATGACTTTCCTATGGTAGGTTCCATGGAGTTTTTGAGTTAAACCCTAACCAGAGTGTTTTTGGACTGCTATTTTTTCACATTAGGGTTACTAGCAGCAGATTTCAGAATTTCTCCAATTAAATATACAAGCCTCTCTATCGATCGCCAATTTTATGGATTGAGCCCACTTGAGATAGTTATGAGTTTTATAATTGTGAGGGAAGGTGGTAAATTTTGGGGATAATACTAATTGATATAGCCATGAGAGGAGCTTTAGGGTGAGGTATGGTGGTTTCAAATTTATTGGAACAAATATATGTGGTAGAATTTCCTTATACTCCGGTCATCATTTTGCTGATTTGTACGACATCTTCAAAATCTGTGAAGAGCAACACATGCAACATCTACCTTGAGTGAAAAAGAAAGCATGCTCTGGTTCTGATACAGGCTCAGATTGCACAGATTCAACCCTGCTGTCAATGCCAGAGAAGTCATGGGGTTTGAATCTTTTGCCCTTTTCTTTCGAGGGGCGAGAACCTTGGAATCTCTCAGGCGACGCCAAGAAAATTTTGCCAGATGAAGGATGAGGAAAGGTCATCTGATCTTAAGCCTCGAATCCGGGGATGCCATGGAAATTTTCGCTAGAGGAAGGACGCACGAGCCATTCATGAAGTTTCTTGTTTTGGGTTGGAGTAGAGCGAAGTGAAGGTGCGCTTGAGAGCGGAACTCGTCAACAACCAGTTAATCACAATTTTGACTGCGATAACTTACTCTCTTATCATGTAGGTTTTTAGAGAGCAAAAATAATTATTCATCTTCGATTTCATAGGAAACTTTTTCAAGATGAATGACGGGGCAATGCTATCACAATAAGAAAGAAACAAAATTCTCGTTATACAAAAACATGAAACAAAAATTACAACTTACCAACAATAATAAATTCCAAAAGTAGGAAATTTTTTTAAAAAAGGAGGATGCTAAAAATAAAACTTATTAAAATTTCAACAACGTGATATGAACGATTTGGGTGATATAAATGTAAAAAGTAAACTTTAGGTGTTAGATATGTAAATCAATAAGAATTGGGTGGCATGTATGTAAATCCCCTTTCTTACAAACTTATTTTTAGATGATCACACTAGCTTGTATAGGAGGGATAAGCTTGTGTCTATCGAAATTTGCTCTCATATATGAATTTTGTTATATTGAGATATGTGTATGTTTATGTTTTTGTTTTCTTTTTTCTACTGCATACTTTAGCATATAATAGTCAATGATAATGCGGTGGATGACCTAGAAGAGTAGCTATTATTTAAAGCATTGAAGTTATAACTGTACGATTCATCATTAATAGAAACTTCAAACCCTTATTTCATTTACTAAACTTTCATTTTCTATTGAAATTTTGTGCATTCCAAAAAATGTTTGCACCCTTTAATCAGGCCTGTGTAGCACTCACTTTGAGTAAGCAGCCTGATGTTTTTTTGTGTTCTTCCGTACACTTGTTATTATCTTTTCATTTTTTGGGCAAGTTAGAGTATTCTGTCTTGTAATTTAACCTGACGATAACTTATTTTTCTCTCTGAACATCTCATGAAGAGAGTACATTACTCGTGTCTCATTTAAAATTACATATTTCAGATTATTTTCTTATTTTTGTCATTTGTTTACTTCGCAGTCCTTTTAAATGTTGTTTTATGGAATGATATATGATATTATTTTTTTTTTCTTATAATTTCTGCTGCAGGTCTTTAGTTCCTGGATGCACTTTTGTGCCGTGCGTGTATTCACTGAGAGCATTCTCAGATATGGTTTGCCGCCATCATTCTTGGTAATGAAATATCATCTTAAGTGTCTTTTGCCTGTTAATCTCATTGTTATAAGAGCGAAAAACGTTGTTTATGTTGGATTAAAAACAGGCTGCAGCTCTTGCGCCGCCGGTGAAAAGTGAGAAAAAAGTACGGAACTTGTTGGAGCAGCTGTGTGGCAATGTCAACAGGTAACTGTTAATCTTGTCATGTGAATTTATATATATGCCACCCAATTCCTATGTATTTACATATGTAACATCTAAACTTTTCTTTTTATATTTATATCGACTAAAATTTTCATATCACATAAAAAGTACCACCATTTTAACTTCTAAAAAGTGAAACAAACCTTTTCATGAATAGTTAAGGTTGCATGTAAAAATTGATGTTTAGGTGTTAGATGTTTAAATACATAACAATTGAGTGGTATGCATGTAAATCTTCCTTTTTCTTTTTCTTAACAGGGAGTCATTAGTATTTCACTGTTTTGTGTCATTGGCTCGTTTATAAATTTGTTGGTTTTGTAATAATTACCGTGATGTCACCTTCATGATTTACTGATATTTGGCCATTACTATTGTACTAAAAAGTTTTGTTTTTTATCCAATAACGAAAAGTACCTGATTATTATATACCATCATGTGTATAGTTTAAAGAAGATGAATATTTAGATCTCTCTCAACTTGATCGTATCTTATGTAATGTTTGATTTTTTTTCTTTATTATAGTTTATTGAAAAAGTTCATCATTTGCTTGTTTTTTCACAAATGAATATTTATCACCTGTAAGTATTACTTGTGAGTTCTTGATCAAATCCTATAAGTATTTGATTCTTTCCCAATTTTTTGTTTTTTTGACAGTTCTTCTCTATTTTATATTATTATATTTGATGCATTGAACAAAATGCGAAGGGAAAAAATTCACAAGTTATTGCATGTTTAAAAGATTAAAAATAAGAATAGCAGTCATTGAGAGTTGAAAAATAAAATTATTTTAGGTGAATATAGTTAGTAACTGGTGTGATTATTATTAAGATTTTTATTGGTGGTGACATTATTATTGTGGTTAGCGTTATTCTCCTTAAGTTGAATTAAAAGATAGTTTTAAAATAAGAGTTGGAAAAAAAGGATGAATTGCTAAAGCATATAAACTTTAAGATATAAACTTTAAGAAGATAAAATATTTATTATATTATAAGTGGCTTAGAGGGATATATTGATTTCAGTAGGATGGACTAAGGGTTTTGTGTTCAGTATGGAATGGGAGTAAGGTTGTAGGAAAAGTTATACTTAATTGCATTGTAGCTTATGATATTGCAATTATTTATCGTCTTCTAAGCATTGAACAATTATTTAGTTTTTTATAAAAATTAACCCACCAAATTACTAGTAGACTCATTTTATTGATAAGAAAAAATAATTTATCTGAACAGATTCTATAATGACTTCGTTAAAGAGTTTAAACACACAAAATAACAACTATTTATGTGTATCTTGCGAGCATAAAGAAAATAATTAAAATAAATAATTGCTCTATTATGAGGTAATTGTTTTTGAATTGGAAAAATTTATTACTTTTTAAATGTAGGTTTCTAAGGTACTAAATTGGAATTTTTTCTAGTGGAGCCAAATCTAAAAAGAACTAAGATGGTTAGTTTTATTTAGAGGATTCTTGTTAAAATTTTAGGAGTATAAAAATTAATTGTACACTAATATTAGAATTCATGGTGAAATTGACATATAAAATGTTATCAAGGAAATAAAATGTACTTTGAAAGTGTGACCAAAATTAAAATCTATTTAGGATTATAACTATTAGGGATAATCAAAATTTACTCTTTTTAGTGAACTGGAAAGAGCATAACTCTTGTGATATTTTTTTTTAAGGAAACCCGTAGGTAATTTTATTGCTAAGAAGTAAAGTTACATGTTTTTAGGAGATTAGATTCCACTGTAAATTAAAAAATTATAGTACACCTAGGGTTCCAACCTCTATGTGTACAAAGTCACCCAAAAAAGTCTCCAAAACATATACAAGTATACCCTAAGAAGACTCTAAAATAAAGGAAATAACTAAACCAAAGCAAATAAGAAGGAAAAGAAAAACAACAATAAACAGACATCCCATCTTAGGAAAAAGGTCTGAGCTAGGGCATATTGCGATTGTCCCGCAATAGGAGCGACTTAAGATCAGAATTAGGCTTGGTCTTTAGGATTATAACCTTAGTCTGTGTAGCAGCTTGACAAGGAGATCTGCAAGCCTATTAGTTTCCCTGGGTGTGTAGCTGCATGTGATGACAATATTTGTTGAAAGTTGCTCTGCATAAATCAACACCTAAATACCACGGAGGTTTTTTATCATTAGCCAATATGTTCAACAAAATACATGAATCCATTTCAATTTGTAAGAATCTCCAATTCATTTTAGCCATAATAGATAAGGCCAACTAAACAACACATAATTCTGCGGATAAAGCACAAACAAGCATACAAGGTGAAGAAAAAAAACGTAATAGTTCACTAGAATGAGACCTGTAGACCACACTTGCACCTGCACAGTCAACCTTCCAACTACCACCATACAAGAGAGATCTTACAAAACTTTCAGCCTGATATATCATAACCCAACTAATCCTCCCAGCTCGCAAAACAAGATGGCTTAAATTTATGATAAATAAACAGCTTATGTATATAAGATAGGATTTTTGAAATCACCCTATCCTGCTTAGTGCAACAATTCTCGTGCTTGTGGAAATTCTCATAACTCATGTGATATATATATATATATATATATATAGACGTACACATGCACACGCTCATTTTTGATCAAAGTGTCAAATTATGTTTTCCATCTTAAGAGATGAATCAAGTTAACATGTACTTGCCCACTGGACTTGGCTGGGCTACATTAAGGCTACATTATAAGTTTGTTTGTATTCAACTTGAGCTCGAGCAAGCTTTCACATGTATGTTCATACACAATTTAATTAATTTTTAAAAAAATTATACTTGGCTTTTAATTGATTTGTTTATATTAATTGAACGAATACTTCAATGGGTTAATATACAAGCTAAAATTTGAATTAGTCCTTGGCTTCTCATGTAAGATCACTAACAAATAATTTTATAAATTTAAATATGTAAATGTATAAATTTTAAATGTGATCAAACTAGTTCACATAATTAAATAAAATAATAATAAGTTGCAAATAAACTTTCTTGCAATCAAATAATATAAATAAGTAATAACAAACTTTTTTAAAGAAATAAGAAGAAATTGTCTTAAATTGTACTAAATATTAATATTAAATTATTTTATGTTATTATTAAATATATATTTTAATAATTTTTAATTAATGAAAATTTATTTAAATAATATATCTTCTATGATTTAACTATCATAGCATTCAACGAGTTGCTTGTTGAACAATAAATGAGTTCGTTCGTCAATATATATAAATGATTTTGATCATGCTTGAGTTTGGTTCATTTAACTTTCACGCCTTTAAAAATGTTTAAACCCATTTATTTATTAATTTGAATGAACTTAATCGAGTATTAATCGAGCCGAGTTCGAGTTGTTCATTGAGTGCATTGGTTCATTTACGACCCTATATAGATTGCGGAGATTAGCTCGAGGGTGAAGAATTAGTCATTCTCATTAGATATGGAAGATCATGGAGAGCAGGAGCAGCTTTGGGAAAATATCATAGGGAGAAGCTGCAGGGAAGCATGATGGCCTCTAGTTCTGAATGTGCTCACTGAAACCTTGCCGGAGTTATCATAAATGATGATGGTTAAAATAGGTCAGCAAATTACATATCCGATAAATGGTTACATCCATGTCTTTATTGTTACTACTTGTCAGCGTCACTTTTATTGGATGCTTCCTACTTTTTGTTGTCTTCATGGAGGTGGAAGAGAGGGATTAGAGGAGGTACTAAGGGATGCTAAGTGCTTTTTGCGAAACAATAAGTGTATTTTAGAGAGGAAGAGAGAAAGGATGATCTTGAGGTTACTATGGAATCTTTTGATGGAAATAATATTATATTGCATGGAAAACCTAAGAGTAATACTTCTGTCAAATGTATATTAGGTTATATGCTCATTAGCATACATTGATAGGACTATTGTTTGATTACTTTATTAGTATGTGAATCTAAATGTATTAGTGAAGTGTGTAGTGAGTGAAATATGCTATAGTTTTTGATGATTTATATAATAAGCTTGATAATAAGGAGACACAAAATTAGATATATAAGATAACTAAGCTAGGAGAAATGGAGATGCCAATTAAATTAGATGTATTAGATTTAGAAGCAAAGATAATATGATTTTAATTAAAGATGAAGATGGCATGAAAAGATGAAATGTTATTTTAAGAATTATTGAATGAAATCTTGATGGAGTTTATTTATTTATTTATTATAGACATACTTAATGAGAAAATAATGGCACATTTTATATACATTTATTCCCAAAAAATGAAGTAGATTTGGAATTGGAATTGAATAACTTTATTTTTTTGAATTTTTTCTATTAAGATTTGGAGTATTATGGAGAATATTGTAATTATTTGATTAGGAAGGGTTCAGAGAATGCAAATATTTTGAGGAATATTTTAATGCCAATATCTAAAAACAAAGGAAGTGCTCAAATTAGTGCTAGCCGTTAAAGAATCAAATTTATGAGTCATAAAATAAAACTATAGGTAAGAGTGATGGAGTATGGGCTTAAAAAAGTTACAAAAGGATTAAAGAAGGAAGATGCGTGCAAAAAAACAAAATTAGAATAATAGAGAGAAGTGTTTAGAAGATAGAGGTTATATAAATAGTAGAATAATGATCCAGTATATGATATCTAATTTTTATCAATGTATTATTAATAATTATCATTCATTTGTATTAGTATTAGAAGAAATATTCATAATTACATGAAATATGGAAGATCGAGGTTATGTGGTTATATATATATATATATATATAGATACAGGATGTATATATATATATATATATATATATATATAACTTTTAGAGTTAAGGCTAGCATTTGAATAAAAAAATTTTCAGCATATTATGTGATAAAATCATATCATGGACGCTTAAAAGCTAAAAGTACTAGTAAGCTCATGATATTATATAAATTCGAACGTTGGGCGATAAAAGAAATTACTAGTAGCTAAGTCAAGCACGGTGAAAATAATTGGCTAAGCTAAGCATTGTAAAAATGAGAACATTAAAATGGATGTGTGAAAAAATTATGTTGGATAAATTAAGAAATGATTATATCAAAATAATGATTGGATTGACATCTACTGAAGATAATTAAAAATAGATTTTGTGTGGTTTGGACGTGCACTATGAAATGACATAATATTCTCTAATAAATGGGAAAATAAATTACTCAGCAGATTAGGAGGAAAAAAGTGACAGATATAAGACAGTATAAGTAAGACATGATAAATTAATGAATTCGGATTGGACTCTACTTTCTTCTACAAGCAGGAGATGCATTTATGTCTGATCGCTCCTTATTTCTATTGCAGCACTTACTGGAAATCTGAAGATGATGCTGGTGCGGTTGCTGGTGTAGGTGTTGAAACAGATTCTCATCCATATGCCTCCTTCACTGTCAATGTTTCTTGAGATAAAAATATCTCTTGATGTGTTTCTGACTTGTCGAATTATTCTTATTATTCGGAACAAAATCACTATGAAACGTAATCCTGCTGTATTATCTCTGGTAAGTACGATTTTTATTTTATTTTATTATTATTTAACCGACCCCATGTAACGGGATTAAGGCTTTTTGGTTGTTGTTGTTGTTGTTGTTGTTGTTGTTATTATTTAATTGATATTTTCAAGGTATCATTCTACATGTCATGAAGGAATAGAGTTGAGTTTGTATCTATTTTCTATCGAGAAGTATGCTTCATTTACTAGTCAGTTATTGTGAAATTCAATTGCTCACTTTGTACCTATTGTCACACAAATTACAGATCAAAACAGCTGAGGGGAAAGGAAAAACCTTGAATTGCTCTTTTTTAACTCTTCGACGCAGTTACACAGAAGGGAATCAAGTTTTTTCAAACATTATTTAAGCCATTATTTTTTCTTTGCAGTTTCTGCACGCTGAACTGCTGGCCATTCGCTCTTTGTACACGTTCATTGTCATCTTCTGTCTGGTTATAATTTTCTTGTTATTTTTTTTTTTCTGATGGCAGTTTTTTCATAATTTTTCTATTAGATTATGACAGTTGTAAGAAATTTATTATTAGATTTTTTAGAAAAAAAAAAGTATTCATGAGAGTTTTCATAAACACTGCTTTTGTTGCAGCAGGTTGATGACTTGTCTTAAAGATTCAGAATACAAAAATTCACCTCTCATTATAAAGTTGATATCAAGAATAATAGATATACATTGCGAAGATTCTGGCCACCCGTTTTGCCTTGCAAAAGTTGAGAATTTCCATCATCTTTGACTTGCTCGCTCTCCCGAGGATCTCCTTTATTAAACTAGCTCAAAGTAAATATTTTTTTAGCAAGCCTTATTTGCTCAATGTGCACTTGGCAGTTGAAGTTAGTTAAATCAGGTTCGTGGGTAGGGTTTAGGTTTGACCCAAAATTGTTTGATTTGAACCTGACTCCCATTCAACCTGCTAATCCGGACTCAACCCTTATACATCATTTAACATAAGGCATAGTAGTTGTTTGGGTCAATCTTGAGTTGACACTTGATTTTAAGTCCATTTCGGGTTAGTGGATTAGTTTTAGATTAATTTTTGGTTAGCAGGTCAACTCAAATTTGACCGAAAAGATTAGACCGGTTAGGATTCCTAACCCAAAGCCATCCCAAAAATTATTTGGGTTAGCCTAAACCTGGATTTTTCGAGTCTAGTTCGGTTCGAGTTGGCGTGTTGACCCCCCCCCCCCCCCCCCTGGACCCCCCA